GTCGAGCCGGCATCGCGTCGGAAAGCGGGAGAAGCGATCTCAGAGTGGAGGGCACCGACAGAGGTCGGCTCGCGGGGGGGGGAGAGGCGCACAGGGAGACCCGCTGAGCAGCCGGGGAGGCGGCGCGAGAGGAGGATGGGCGCCTAAGACGGCGGCGGGGCTTCCGAGAGAAGGCAGGGAGCTTCCTGGAAGCCCGCCCAGCTTGAAGCCCGCCCAGCTTCCAAGAAGCTTTCTTTTTCAAGGAAGAGGAGACGGCATACACACAAATTTTGGGCGCTCCGCGCGGATTTCTTGGATCTGCGCAGGACCCCCCTCCCTGGCGCGCGGAGCGCGCCAGGGGCGGCGCCAGAGGCGCCGCCGGGGGGGGGGGGGGGGGGGGGGGCCCAGCGCGGATGCAAGAAACCCGCGCGGAGCGCCTAACATTTGTGCTTATCGCGTTCTTTCCCCTTCGATCCTCAGAAGCCTCTGGGGCCTTCCGAGAAGGCCCCTGCCTTCCAGGGAGCCCCCCTCCACCTCCTCCGAGGGCCCGCCCCCTCGCGCCAACGCCCCCCTCCTCCTCCTCCTCCTCCTCCTCCTCCTCCTCCTCCTCCTCCTCCTGTGGGCGCCGCCCGCCGCAGGGAGGGCCTTCGGGATCTCGTCACGTCACGAGGGGGGGGGGACGGACAGACAGGCAGACTTCTACGTCGGCGGCCAGGCAGCCTCACTGCGCCGGCGAGGAAGCGAAACGGGGCTGCCGTGAAGCGAATTGCGTCACCATGCAAGAGGGGAGGAGAAGACGACGAAACGACGGCCAAACAGACAGACAGAAGCCAGGCGACTGCACGGCGCATCGGCCTAATCTGGGGGAGGGTCTGCTCGGGCGCTTCTGCCCTGGAGGGGTCTTTGAACACGGCCCCTCTGGGAGGGCTCTGTGGTCCCCTCCCTCTTCTGCTGCCCGAGCGTGGAGCGGCCAGAGCTTCTGTGGACTTCGACCCCCGCGAGCGGCGCCTCGAGCCGCGGCTCGTGCACGCGCGCGCGCAGGAGCACCGCCGGGACGCCAGCGGCGCTCGGAGCAGGCGAAGGCCTCGGAGCGTGAGGGTCTCCGGCCCCTGCGGGCGGGGGCCCCAGGTCCAGCCGGACCCTGAGGCGCTCCCCCGGAACGCGGACCTCTGCACCGCAGAGGCATGACCCGGGGGGTGCTGCACAGTCGGCCCGCATCATAAGGATGCGCGATGGGGATGCAAGGGCCTTGGAGGGCCATGTCGAAGCTTTTCGAGCGGGGCGCGGCCAAAGCAAGTGGCCAAGTATGGGCCGAGGAGGGAAGGATGCAAAGGCTTCCCCTGGGAAGGTGGCGCATCCTTACTGTGCGGGCTGACTGTGGCTGTCCCTGGCCTGAGATGTCCCCAGCGCTCCGCTCCACTTTGTGGCCCCCGGGGGCCCTCTGGGCCTCGTCGGAAGTGCTCTGGAGGTCGTGGGAGCCTCATTGACTCTGACTCCGGGGGGAGGGCATCGACCCTCAATCTTACACTGTTTTTTTGGTCGGCGGAGCGAGAGCGAACCTCTTCCGCTAAAAGCTAGGCGGGCTATGCACAGCTTCAATTAGGGAGACAGGGCACAGGAAGGCGGGGCCTCAGGTGGCCGGAGCGGGCGGGGCCCGGGGAACAGGCGGTGCCGAAGTGGATGTGCAGGAAAGGGTACGCCTTGGACAGGGACCGAGGGCGAAGACCCAGAAAGCGAAGGAAATGGTGTTGCCGTCAACGGCAATCTTACACTGATCACCGAGAAAGGGCCCGGCAGCCCACCCCGCCCAGGAGCATGCGGACTCGTCGTCGGGGGCCCACCACCGATCTGTCGGCGACGTATCGCCGATTCCAGCTCGACGTTCCCACCCCGCCAGACGATCCCCGATGTTCGTCAATTTACTCGACGCGGAGATCCCCATATTTGCATATCATAGCGATGACAAGCTGCGATAAAAGACATTGTCCTTTTCAATACCCGAGTGTCAGCGAATCCACGTGGAAAACGAGGCCGAGAGAGACGCCGACGACTACGACGACATTCAGTAGTAAGAGAAGGATGTTGAGGACCCAAACAGGCAAACCGCCTGAGACATCCCTCCAATCTGGGCGCGAACGGGCCCGTGCAATACCCCCATGGCGTCCCCCCCCTTAGGAGTGCTGAAGCCAGCACCTCGCCTGAGACATCCTCGAAAACTGCTCCGAAAGAGAAGGATGTTGGGCACCCAGACAAGCAAACCGCCTGAGACATCCCCCCAATCTGCGCGCGAACGGGCCTGTGATGTACCCCCTAGCGCCCCCCCTTGGGAGTACTGAAACCAGCGCCTCGCCTGAGACATCCTCGGAAACTGTTCCGAAAGAGAAGGATATTGGGCACCCCGACAAGCAAACCGCCTGAGACATCCCACCAATATGGGCGCAAACGGGCCTGTGATGCACCCCCTGGCGCCCCCCCTTTGGAAGTACTGAAACAAGCGCCCCGCCTGAGACATCCTCAGGAACTGCTCCGAAAGCGGAGGATGTTGGGCACCCAAACACGCAAACCGCCTGAGACATCCCACCAATATGGGCGCGAACGGGCCTGTGATATACCCCCTGGCGCCCCCCCTGGGGAGTATTGAAACCAGCGCATCGCCTGAGACATCCTCGGAAACTGCTCCGACAGCGGAGGATGTTGGGCACCCAAACACGCAAACCGCCTAAGGCATCCCTCCAATATGGGCGCGAACGGGCCTGTGATGTACCCCCTGGTGCCCCCCCTTGGGAGTACTGAAACCAGCGCCTCGCCTGAGAAATCCTCGGGCACTGCTCCGAAAGCAGAGGATGTCGGGCACCCAAACACGCAAACCGCCTGAGACATCCCACCAATCTGCGCGCGAACGGGCCTGTGATGCACCCCCTGGCGCCCCCCCTTGGGAGTACTGAAACCAGCGCCTCGCCTGAGACATCCTCGGGAACTGCTCCGAAAGCGGAGGATGTCGGGCACCGAAACAAGCAAACCGCTCGAGACATCCCCACCATTTCGTCGCGAACGGAGGAGTGCAATACCCCCTGGCGGCTCCCCCTTGGAGGCGAAAAAGAGTGCCTTGCTCGAGACATCCGCTCGAAACATCCCTGCCATGTTGGCATGAACGGAAGAGTGCAATACCCCCCGGCGGCTCCTCTTTGGAAGCGAAAATGAGCGCCTCGCTCGAGACATCCTCCAAAGCTGCTCCGAAAGCGGAGGATGTCGGGCACCAAAACAAGCAAACCGCTCGAGACATCCCCACCATTTTGGCGCGAACGGAGGAGTGCAATACCCCCTGGCGCCTCCCCCTTGGAGGCGAAAATGAGCGCCTCGCTCGAGACATCCTCCAAATCTGCTCCGAAAGTGGAGGATGTCGGGCACCAAAACAGGCAAACCGCTCGAGAAATCCCCGCCATGTTGGCGCGAACGGAGGAGTGCAATACCCCCTGGCGCCTCCCCTAGGGAGTACTGAAACCAGCGCCTCGCCTGAGACATCCTCACAACGTGTGTGTGAATCTGAGCGCGGAAATACCAGGAGAGCGAGTGAGTCTGCATATGAGGGATCCCGAGCATGAGAAACCTGAGTATCAAGAATCTAAGAGCGAGTGTATCTCAGTATGGGTGAGTCTGAATATGAGCGAGTCTACATGTGAGTGAGTCAGAGAATGATGACCTGAGGGTGGGAGGTGTCGGTTCCGCGCGGTCTAAGTACGTATAACAAGAACCCCATCCTGAGGAGATGGGGAAATATATCTTTACCCCCTCACTCGATCTTGTGGTACCGCCCTTTGTGCACTCAACGCGTCCTCTGTCCACACCCGCTGGGGTAAAGCAACGCTCGTGGACATGTCTCGAGGGCTCCCCAGCCACTGTGTTGATGCTGAGCTACACTGTCAATACCTCGCTGTCAGGGAATTTTGATGTGCGTTTGCTCGCTAGAGCACTTGACACGTGCGCGCAGCCACACTGTCGATGCCACGCTTTCCTGTGGTTTTTCTGCCGCTTTTCTGCTCTGAACGCACTCCGCTTGAAGCGGCGGAGAGCTTGAGCGGACCGCCCAACAAAAACGAGCCGGTCCCCTCCCCCCCCGAACGATCCCCCTCAAGAGGGGCCCCAGAGATGGCAATGGTGGTCCCGCTGCGTCTGGGAGGGCGGCAACCGCCCACCTGCACAGCGACGGCCACGACGGCGGCGACGTCGGCGTCGGCGAAGAGGCGGCGGCAGCGGTGGCGGCGGGCGGTCGCGGCGGCGGCGGCGAAAGCGGCGGCGGCGGCGAAGGCGGTGGCGGCGACGACACGGATCCTGACCAGAGCGGTGGATACACCCCTCTGGCCTCGCTGGGAAGATCCTCCTCCTCCTCCTCCTCCTCCTCCTCCTCCTCCTCCTCCTCCTCGTTCTTCTCCTCCTCCTCCTCCTCCTCCTCCTCCTCCTCCTCCTCCTCGTTCTTCTCCTCCTCCTCCTCCTCCTCCTCCTCCTCCTCTGTTGCGCCGATCCTGGTAAAGCGGGACGAGGCGGGAGTGGGCGGCATTCCGCCGAATCAAAAGGTTGCTCTGGATTGGGCCAGCTTTCGACCACGGACGTACCAGCGCCGACGCTGAAGTTACCCTCTCGGGAACTGCACCCTAACCTTAGGTCGGGCGTGTCCCCCCAGACTTTTTTTTGCCTATCTGGGAACGTTCCTCCTGTAGAGGGGCAGGCCCGACTTAACCCCAACACGCGGGGGGGTCCAAGAAGGCAGGGTGCCTCTCGAAAGCAATCCCGGCCTCTGTCGAGCCTTCTCGGCAAGCTCCAGGCCATTCCAAGGAGGCCCCCGCCTTCCAGGTGCAGGCTGCGTCCCGACTCGATGCGATCCGATCTGGGGGGAAGCGAGTGGGAGAGGCCTCCAAAGACGACGGGGTGCTTCTTGGAAGGCAGGTCAGGGCTGCACGAACCACGACCTCGGGCCTGAGATCGGACGACGGATGCAGCTGCCAGCGACTCGTCTCGGCGAGAGA